AGTCAGACTATGCTGATCGTGTCCCATTAACTATGTGATGTTATATAAACATGGATAATATATCTTTATTACTACAAGTACATATACAAGGTATACAACAGGCCATAGCTGACATCAATTGTGGAAAATACTGTATATATTTTCCGGAAATACGGTAATTTATAGGTAAATAGATGCCTTATATTGTATTTTTAAAAGAAGTATGGTGGCCCGGTGGCCTGGTGGCTAAAGCTCCCGCTTCACACACGGAGGGCCCGGGTTCGATTCCCGGCGGGTGGAAATTCCGACACGTTTCCTTACACCTATTGTCCTGTTCACCTAGCAGCAAATAGGTACCTGGGTGTTAGTCGACTGGTGTGGGTCGCATCCTGGGGGACAAGATTAAGGACCCCAATGGAAATAAGTTAGACAGTCCTCGATGACGCACTGACTTTCTTGGGTTATCCTGGGTGGCTAACCCTCCGGGGTTAAAAATCCGAACAAAATCTTATCTTATCTTATCTTCACACACGGAGGGCTCGGGTTCGATTCCCGGCGAGTGGAAACATTCGACACGTTTCCTTACACCTGTTGTCCTGTTCACCTAGCAGCAAATAGGTACCTGGGTGTTAGTCGACTGGTGTGGGTCGCATCCTGGGGGACAAGATTAAGGACCCCAATGGAAATAAGTTAGACAGTCCTCGATGACGCACTGACTTTCTTGGGTTATCCTGGGTGGCTAACCCTCCGGGGTTAAAAATTTGAACGAAACCTTATCTTATCTTATCTTATGTTGCCGAAAATGGGAAACCTGCGGCTGGGCGAGTCAGTCGCCATTTTGTTTGAATTTGGATTAGAAATGTTGGTGTAATGGGAGGAATTTTCGTGCTCTAGAGGTTAAAATTGGGCTACCTCTCAAATAGGAGGCGAAATTGTTGGATGTGCATTTCTGCATAACTTGAGATATCAGACGACTGGACAAGACAGCTCCAGGAACCTCAGATAAGTCTTATGTAGTAACCTGGCCAATGTTATTTTCACAGATAGACAGTGAGGTTTTCTGAGTATGATACACATTAATCTCCAGTCAAATTGGTGAGTGATATTAAGATATTTTCCTTCTGTTATATAAATATGTGTATATATAATCCTTTTCTTAATTTTAATATACAGTCCACAAATTTATATATTTACCAGTATTCCTGGAGATGTATAATTCATTTAATTAATAGGTCCAGAGCAACTTGTGGATATGACAGTGGTAGGTATCGAAGGGGGACATTTTGCGACCTAGGTGTCCCAAATTCCTACTTGTCTAACTGATAAATAATAATTATCTATGTTCATTTACTGTTATGTATATAATGATACATTCAGATAAATGCAATTTTCCACATCAATGACTTACTACTATATAGAAAGCCCCTTGTTATGCAGAGCATTTGGGGCAAATTAGGCCCTTGTCCTAGGATGCGACCCACACCAGTTACCCATTTTACTGATGGGTGAACATAGACAACCGGTGTAAACACGCCCAATGTTTCTACCCGCGCTGGGAATCGAACGCAGACCCTCTCCGTGTGAAGCGAGAGCGTTAGCGATCAGGCCACGAGGCACCGCATGCGTAAGAAGACTATAACTCTCAGTTAACTATGTGATGCTATATGTGGAAAATACTGTATATCTTCCGAAAATACAGTGTATTTTGTATGTAAATTGATGGAATATATTGTAGGTAATAAAAAATAATTTGTAAATAAATAAAGAACCAGCGAAATTGGTGAGCGTCACTGGGGAGAGACACCATTGTTTTGAACTGGGCAAGAGAAACGTGAGGAAGAATCGGAAGAATTTTCGTCGCTCTAGAGGTTATATTGTGCTTAAAACCTCTCAAATAGGAGCCGAAATTGTTGGATTTGCAGTCCTGCAGAACGTGAGAATTGGGTGACTGGACAGGACTCCGTAATTAGATGAGAACAGGATAAAATTACCCCAGGTGATGTCTATTTATGTTGGAATTCTGGCCAGTATTTTCTTCATATTTAGGCAGGGGTTTGAGTATGACACTCTAAGTAATCTCCAGACAAATTGGTGAGTGTTATTATTATAAATTCTCCTTCAATGTATATGTATTCACTTTTTAAATTTGATATACAGTCTACATATTTATATTAATGTTTACCAGAATTCCTGGTGATGTATATTTCATTTGAAATTAATATAGGTCCAGAGTGACTTGTCGAGATATGACAGTAGGTATCGAAGGAGGACATTTTTTGCGACCTAGGTGTCCTAAAATTCCTACATGTCTCTATAACCTTGATAAAGAATAATTATCTTCGTTACTTTTAAAAAATTACTGATAGGTATCTAATGAGATTCATCCAGGTAATTTTAATTTTCCACACTATATTAACATGGACAGCAGATGTAAAAAGACATGGTTCTTAATGTCAGGTCTAACTTTTTGTGAGAGTAGTGAGGAAGTGGGCAGTCGAAGGAGTTGCAATTCGGTGACATACTGTGACTAAGTCCCACTTAAACATAAGTAAGTAAATTTACTTACAGGATTCTTTACCTTAGTAACTTGTGACTTCATTACCTTTGTACCTAATTCAGCTATCAAAACTCTGGGGGCCCAGTCCCTGGACCCATTATGTACCTCTGTAATCTGTAAATACCTTTGTCATGATTGTGACCTGATCTACCTGGAGTGCATTACCTTTGTAACTTGTTCAGCTATCAAAACTTTGGGGCCCAGTTCCTGGACCCATTATGTACCTCTATAATCTTTTGACTACCGCCCACACCATGGGTATGGTATACAAAATAAATATATTAAACTAACCTCACCCAAATTACTTGCAGGTCGCTTGTTCTATCTAGGCTGGAAAATTGCTGCACACTAACAGCACCTTTCAAGGCAGGTGAAATTGCTGACCTAGAAAATGTACAGAGAACCTTCACGGCGCGCATAACGGAGATAAAACACCTCAATTACTGGGAGCGCTTGAGGTTCCTGAACCTGTACTCCCTGGAACGCAGGCGGGAGAGATACATGATTATATACACCTGGAAAATCCTAGAGGGACTAGTACCGAACTTGCACACGAAAATCACTCACTACGAAAGCAAAAGACTTGACAGACGATGCAACATCCCCCCCAATGAAAAGCAGGGGTGTCACTAGCACGTTAAGAGACCATACAATAAGTGTCAGGGGCCCGAGACTGTTCAACTGCCTCCCAGCATACATAAGGGAGATTACAATAGACCCCTGGCTGTCTTCCAGCAGGCACTGGACCAGCACCTAAAGTCGGTACCTGACCAGCCGGGCTGTGGCTCGTACGTTGAATTGCGTGCAGCCAGCAGTAACAGGTTGGTTGATCAGCCCCTGATCCACAATGAGGCCTGGGCACAGACCGGGCCGCGGGGGCGTTGACCCCCGAAACTCTCTCCAGGTAAACTCCAGGTAATAATTCGGGTGATGCCCTGTAAACCTCCTGCAGGTGATTCGTTCACATAATAATAATAATAATAATAATAATAATAATAATAATAATAATAATAATAATAATAATAATAATAATAATTTTCACAATTTATCTCAATATAAATGTGACATTTCTGCATGTGAAGAGGTGACATATTATGCCCTAATTTGGTTCAGTTTCCTGCTTAATATTAAATACATTTATAATCCTTGAGCAGTTGAACTAAAAGCCTTTGATTATGATTGTTTGCTAGAGTAAAAAACTTATTTATAATTGTGAAAACATTTATTACAGCAGGTAAAGTTTGTCAGGAAACAGGACAAGTGTTTCCTGAAACGGATCTTAGTCACATGATAACCCCGAAGCTCCAGCTTTTAGTCACCTGACCGAGGCCTTCTGCTGGCTTACCTGTCCACCCCTTTAAAAATTAAGGTTATGCAAACTACTATTTTTATTGCAGTAATGGATAACCCATGCAACATAGTGGGGGCTGCAAGAACAATGGTAGCTTAGTGACGCAGCGTTCATCTGTGAACTAGCAACACCCATGTTCAACATTGTGACGGGCGAGACATATGTGCAAGTCTCTCAACATTTACTGATTATTTTTCACCAGTTAGTAAACAGATAGCTAGAAGTTAGCCCCCAGTGGCTAGTAACCTGGATTAGTAACCCAGGATAACCCAGTAAAGCCACTACCATTAAGTACTGTACACCTGCCCGAAATGCCTAGCCATGCTAGGCGTTTTAGTGGTACTCTCTGTAATCATTATTTAACTACATGTAAACCACACAACAACCAAATTCTGTAAATTCAACATTGTAATCTTTATAGAGAATAAACTTTGAATTTGAATTTGAATTACTAGTCTAGTTAACTACCATTATCTCTCCCACGGAAGATTCTTTTTCAGCGGTTACATTTTTTTCCGTTTTTTTCCCCTGATTCTACTCTAATACAGTTTTAGAAAAATATTGGAAACACAAGTAAAAATACAAATGAAGTAACATGCGTTAAAATTTTATTTAAAAAACACTGGAGTTATTTAGACACAAGATATATACACCAAGAGGTGTACATCTCCAAGCGTATATAATAATAATAATAATAATAATAATAATAATAATAATAATAATAATAATAATCTTTATTTACTACCAGTACATATACAAGGTATACAGACCATAGCTGACATCAGTGACATACTACTATAGAGAAGTCCCTTGTTATGCTGAGCATTTCAGGCAAATTAGGTCAATTTTGTCCCAGGATGCGACCCACACCAGTCCACTAACATCCAGGTACCTATTTTACTGCTAGGTGAACATGGACAGCAGGTGTCTTAAAGGAAACACGTCCTAATGTTTCCACCAGTACTGGGGATTAAACCACAGACCTCAGTGTGTGAGCTGAGTGGTGAAAAGGTTACTTGTAGCCTTAATAACCCTAATGGAGTCAATAAGCTTTAAACACCATTAACCAATCTACTTTAGGAAAATAAACCAAAGGTATAATTGATGCAAATTTATTTCAATAATTAAAGCATATGACAGAGGCTTTATAGGCTAAGATTTTCACAATAATGACCTTAATATTAAACTCTGTTATTTCAGTCATAATTTTTGTAGAAATTAAAGGTAAAAGGGCAGAATATATTTGTTAACAAAGATGCTACATTATGTTAATAACACCCAAAAAAACTAACAGACAATAATAATCAGCACTCAGATTTATAATAACACAATGTTAATACATTTTTTAGCAGGTGCACCATTATAATGTACACAAATAATCCACATTCTGGAGAGCAATATTTAGATGATTGATCCACAGTCATACGTATATTAATAAGAACATAATTGATAAGTTAAGAGTGGCGCTTCAGGTCAATTATACCACATAATGAAGACCAACTTTCGTTTTTATATGAATTGTTCATTTATTATCAGTTCCTTGATAAACTTTATATAATAATTCACAAGTTTTTCAGTTTCTTGTATGTCACAATTTAGGATCATTTATGGTATTAGATTCGAGATTTCTCAAAAAAAATAAATTAGGAAGACCGGCTGGAAATATCTTGGGCTGCAAAAGCCAAAAATAAAGTTTATGTTAAAAACTCTACCATTATTTAATAAATTTCAGTATAAAATCGTATTTTAATTAAATTACAAACATCCTCAGGCATGTCTGATGGGGAATTTATTGTTTTAAAAAGATTATTCAATTTACTGACAAAATCTTATGACATGATAACTGTAGAATATTTAAAAAAATGTATTCATAAACAAATCGACAAATGAACAATACTTAAAATAAAATCACTCACTGGTGCAAACTAACATTTCTCGATGTATAGAAGAGAGATGTAGGTGGAAAACAGGGAACGGAGAACAATGTAGAAGAGAGAAACACAATATATACACAGAGATGTATGTCTATCAGTGTATATATCTGGGAATTTACTTTAATCTCTGTTATGGGGATTAAAGTATTCTTGTCTGGTGGTGAGAAGGTTGTAGTCTCCCTCCACAGTGTGGTATTGTGTGTAGTCTCCCTCCATAGTGTGGTATTGTGTGTGTGTAGTCTCCCTCCATAGTGTGGTATTGTGTGTGTGTAGTCTCCCTCCACAGTGTGGTATTGTGTGTGTGTAGTCTCCCTCCACAGTGTGGTATTGTGTGTGTGTAGTCTCCCTCCACAGTGTGGTATTGTGTGTGTGTAGTCTCCCTCCACAGTGTGGTATTGTGTGTGTGTAGTCTCCCTCCATAGTGTGGTATTGTGTGTGTGTAGTCTCCCTCCACAGTGTGGTATTGTGTGTGTGTAGTCTCCCTCCACAGTGTGGTATTGTGTGTGTAGTCTCCCTCCACAGTGTGGTATTGTGTGTGTGTAGTCTCCCTCCACAGTGTGGTATTGTGTGTGTGTAGTCTCCCTCCACAGTGTGGTATTGTGTGTGTGTAGTCTCCCTCCACAGTGTGGTATTGTGTGTGTGTAGTCTCCCTCCACAGTGTGGTATTGTGTGTGTGTAGTCTCCCTCCACAGTGTGGTATTGTGTGTGTGTAGTCTCCCTCCACAGTTTGGTATTGTGTGTGTGTGGTCTCCCTCCACAGTGTGGTATTGTGTGTGTGTAGTCTCCCTCCACAGTGTGGTATTGTGTGTGTGTAGTCTCCCTCCACAGTTTGGTATTGTGTGTGTGTGTTCTCCCTCCACAGTGTGGTATTGTGTGTGTGTAGTCTCCCTCCACAGTTTGGTATTGTGTGTGTGTGGTCTCCCTCCACAGTGTGGTATTGTGTGTGTGTAGTCTCCCTCCATAGTGTGGTATTGTGTGTGTGTAGTCTCCCTCCACAGTGTGGTATTGTGTGTGTGTAGTCTCCCTCCACAGTGTGGTATTGTGTGTGTGTAGTCTCCCTCCATAGTGTGGTATTGTGTGTGTGTAGTCTCCCTCCATAGTGTGGTATTGTGTGTGTGTAGTCTCCCTCCATAGTGTGGTATTGTGTGTGTGTAGTCTCCCTCCATAGTGTGGTATTGTGTGTGTGTAGTCTCCCTCCATAGTGTGGTATTGTGTGTGTGTAGTCTCCCTCCATAGTGTGGTATTGTGTGTGTGTAGTCTCCCTCCATAGTGTGGTATTGTGTGTGTGTAGTCTCCCTCCATAGTGTGGTATTGTGTGTGTGTAGTCTCCCTCCATAGTGTGGTATTGTGTGTGTGTAGTCTCCCTCCATAGTGTGGTATTGTGTGTGTGTAGTCTCCCTCCACAGTGTGGTATTGTGTGTGTGTAGTCTCCCTCCATAGTGTGGTATTGTGTGTGTGTAGTCTCCCTCCATAGTGTGGTATTGTGTGTGTGTAGTCTCCCTCCATAGTGTGGTATTGTGTATGTGTAGTCTCCCTCCACAGTGTGGTATTGTGTGTGTGTAGTCTCCCTCCATAGTGTGGTATTGTGTGTGTGTAGTCTCCCTCCATAGTGTGGTATTGTGTGTGTAGTCTCCCTCCACAGTGTGGTATTGTGTGTGTGTAGTCTCCCTCCATAGTGTGGTATTGTGTGTAATCTCCCTCCATAGTGTGGTATTGTGTGTGTGTAGTCTCCCTCCACAGTGTGGTATTGTGTGTGTGTAGTCTCCCTCCACAGTGTGGTATTGTGTGTGTGTAGTCTCCCTCCACAGTGTGGTATTGTGTGTGTGTAGTCTCCCTCCACAGTGTGGTATTATGTGTGTGTAGTCTCCCTCCATAGTGTGGTATTGTGTGTGTAGTCTCCCTTCATAGTGTGGTATTGTGTGTGTGTAGTCTCCCTCCATAGTGTGGTATTGTGTGTGTATAGTCTCCCTCCATAGTGTGGTATTGTGTGTGTGTAGTCTCCCTCCACAGTGTGGTATTGTGTGTGTAGTCTCCCTCCACAGTGTGGTATTGTGTGTGTAGTCTCCCTCCACAGTGTGGTATTGTGTGTGTAGTCTCCCTCCACAGTGTGGTATTGTGTGTGTGTAGTCTCCCTCCACAGCGTGGTATTGTGTGTGTGTGTAGTCTCTCTCCACAGTGTGGTATTGTGTGAGTGTGTAGTCTCTCTCCACAGTGTGGTATTGTGTGTGTGTGTAGTCTCCCTCCATAGTGTGGTATTGTGTGTGTGTGTGTAGTCTCCCTCCACAGTATGTGCAGCCTTAATAGCCTTAGTGTAGCTGATAAGATTTATTTAAACCCCCATTAACCAAAGAGAAAGCAAATTGTTTTAAATATGAAAGAACTTTGTAGAACATACCGGTGACACGGAGTCCGTTCTGTCAGCACTGTGGAGTACCAAGTCTAGCAGCGATGGAGACAGTGGGCAGTACCACCAGCCACGCTGCTTACATAGCCTCCTTTGAATCTTCCTGCAACAGCTACACCTCCTAAATCTTCCTTTACAGCACCACCTCCAAAACCGCCACCTGTAGTTGAACCACCAAAGCCACCTCCAAAACCTGCACCGCCAAACCCATGTTTCACAGCTCCGCCTCCAAAACCACCTCCGCCGGTTGAACTTCCATAGCCGCCTGCAATACTTGCACCGCCAAATCCATCTTTAATAACAGTTCCAAACCCGCTACTTGCAGCTGAGCTTCCCAGACTTTTTCCTACAACTGCGCCAGCAAACCCACCTCCTAAAGCTGTGCCTCTTTGGCCACCCCTTAAACCTGTACCTCCAAAACTACTCTTGACAGCACCCACTGCAAGACCGTCCCTTCTGATGCCAGTTTTTACGCCTCCCACAGCGACAAGTCCCCCACTTCGACCGTCTCCCACAGCCACACCCCCGAAACCTCCTCCAGATCCAGCGACAAGTCTCCTACCTTGACCGTCTCCCACAGCGACAAGTCCCCCACCTCGACCGTCTCCCACAGCCACAAGTCCCCCACCTTGACCGTCTCCCACAGTCACACCCCTGAAGCCTACTCCAGGTCCAGCGACAAACGCCCCGCCAACCCCACGACTTGTACCAGTGTTGAAGCCACCGCTACGACCCGCTACAACGTCCACTCCGACCACCTTTGTAATATGGCCGTCAGAACCAAGGCTGCGGGCACTGGTTACATGTGCGGCTGCAACCATGAAGGAGGCCAGCAGAGCAACCGCTGTAATCTGTATGGCGACCTGCAACAATTGAAATGGTAGTCATAGAAGAGGTAAAGTGAAATATATATTTTTATATTCATGAGACAGCATAAAGGTCGTACAGCAGCCGGGAATGAGAAACAGTTTCATACAAAGAGCGGTAGAGCAACTTTAATTCACTGGATCAAGAACCCTTCACCAGCACCAAAGGCGCTCTTTTCAAGGGTTAAAGAAGAATTCAAGTCACATTCCCCAGGCTGCAACAGTTCACAACTAACTCGCAAAATGAAACAAAAAGTAGATGAGGTTTCGGGTCATCTTTGACCTAATTAAGTCGCGAAAAGTAACCCAGGTTCTCTTTCTAAATTTTGGGTCAGTTACGAATAAAATTTTACATTTTGATGGAGGTTTACCCAGTAAGGCTCTACAGATTGTTTTTAAATTACCTAAATTATTATATTTTTTACAGAGGTCACATAGTAAGGGTCATACAGTATCTGCGGAATGGGAGGAAATTAGGTTCGTCCGATTCTTTGAGTCAAGAGCTCCCAAGCAGGAATCAAACCACCTTCCCTCAGAGGTAAATTACTGAAAGAGTATTCAATTATTCAGCTGTGTTAAAGATTATGCTATGTTGTGAAGTGTTAACTTGATCTTACCATGTTGTCGTCAGTGTGTGTGAGAAATTGTGGTGGCTGCTCTCCTGCTGCTAGTTATATACTCCCGGTGTAGGGCGCTGTCCTCAAGAAACTCCATCTTAAAATGTCGAGTAATGCTTGACAATATTGGTACTGGTGTTGCGGAATCACTTCAACGAACAATGTTTGGGGCACTTGAGGACAATAGCCTAGCATACAATATTGTTATTAGATTAAATTCTTTTACGTTGCATGTGTTAGGATTTAGCGACTTAAAGCATTGTAGTAGTTTTATTTATTTTATGAAATTGTAAAATCTTGGAAACGAAGATAGGAAACATCGATGTCCAAGATACCTTCTGTCTTCTCATTAGATATCTATCCTACCCTAAACTACCTTATATTTTACGATGCTCCATATAATTTGAAAACCCAAAACTGGGTACGATCCTCATCTAAAATCAGTGTTGGAAAAACTTCTGAGCGTAGTCGTAAGCTTCTCTCTCCTACGTGGGGGTTATTTGTGTATTGATCCAATATATCAATGAAGTAAGTTACCAGAACAAACAGGTAGGTCAGCAGGAAAGGCCAACCTCAGCTATACTAGAAGCATCAGTCAGTGGGATACTTTCATGTTCTGACAGCAAGACCAGCTGAAATTATGGTTCACAATCTAGCTGAGACTTCTGTCTCGATTATGGAAAGGGTGAGCTTCCAAATGGAAAGAACCTGTATTTTAGCTGTGATTACACATCACTGGTGATTTTTTCTAGCAGTTCTTATTTCAGCAACTGGCACACGTATCAACGAGCAATCTCTCTGCATTTCAGTAGTTCTCCACCTTGCTGCTCCAGTTCAAACTGAGTATAAGTGTATTTGTGGAAAATTGGTAGGTGACCAAAATGGTCTTCATAGTCTCAGCTGCGCGAGCGCCAGAGGATGACATGCTAAACACAAAGAAGTCAACGAGATCAAGAGAAATTCTGCCACAACTCAATGTGCATTCGAAAAGGAAATCATTACTGTCCAGCATTATAAATCACGGAATAGGTGAGGCTTGAGCCCATGGCAAGTGAGTCCTAAAACTCACAGGCCAGTGCATTAACATTAACACACTAGCCTGTGAGTCTGAGGATTCACTTGCCATGGGTTCCAGTCCCTCGCGTTCTGTGATTTGTTTACAGTCGTTTTATTATGATTTCGTGTATCCAGCATTATGCCAGCAATCTGCATCAGTGAAGTCTCACTATATCCCTTGAAGAATGGTTGGCTGCTGGTGTGGGTTTGAACATCGTCATGTACTTTAGTCGACACTACATTCAGTTCAGCATCCAGCCAGCAGAGTGGCGCTGCTGATTGCAGGGAAGAATGCAAGCTCAACAAGTATAGGAACTTGGTCCATCAGAATTGTGTCCTACTTGGATCAGAGACCCACGGCCCCTGGGGAAAGTGAGCTACAAGTTTCCTGAAAAACTGCCTATCGAAACCACTAGAAACCCAATATATATATATATATATATATATATATATATATATATATATATATATATATATATATATATATATATATATATATATATATATATATATATATATACATATATGTCGTGCCGAATAGGCAGAACTTGCGATCTTGGCTTAAATAGCAACGCTCATCTTGCCATATTGGACAAGTGAAAATTTGTGTATGCAATAATTTCACCAAAATCATTCTGAACCTAACGAAAAAAATATATTTGATTGTGTTTGTTTAGTATTAAATTACTGTAAACGTCTTTAAAATATATATAGTTGGGTTAGGCTAAAATAAATTGCTCTTGTTATAATAAGGTTAGGTAAGTTTTCTAAGATTCTTTTGGTGCAAAATCAAAAATTTTTACATTAACATAAACGAAAATAATATATCTTTAAACGTATAAGAGAAAATTTCAGAAAGGACATAATTTTAAATGAGTTCTTGCTAATTGACCAGTTTTACATATTCGGCACGACATATATATATATATATATATATATATATATATATATATATATATATATATATATATATATATATATGAAAGGGGGTAAGGCAGCTGGGATTGATGGGATAAAGATAGAAATGTTAAAAGCAGGTGGGGATATAGTTTTGGAGTGGTTGGTGCTATTATTTAATAAATGTATGGAAGAGGGTAAGGTACCTAGGGATTGGCAGAGAGCATGCATAGTTCCTTTGTATAAAGGCAAAGGGGACAAAAGAGAGTGCAAAAATTATAGGGGGATAAGTCTGTTGAGTATACCTGGTAAAGTGTATGGTAGAGTTGTTATTGAAAGAATTAAGAGTAAGACGGAGAATAGGATAGCAGATGAACAAGGAGGCTTTAGGAAAGGTAGGGGTGTGTGGACCAGGTGTTTACAGTGAAACATATAAGTGAACAGTATTTAGATAAGGCTAAAGAGGTCTTTGTGGCATTTATGGATTTGGAAAAGGCGAATGACAGGGTGGACAGGGGGGCAATGTGGCAGATGTTGCAGATGTATGGTATAGGAGGTAGGTTACTGAAAGCAGTGAAGAGTTTTTACGAGGATAGTGAGGCTCAAGTTAGAGTATGTAGGAAAGAGGGAGATTATTTCCCAGTAAAAGTAGGCCTTAGACAAGGATGTGTGATGTCACCGTGGTTGTTCAATATATTTATAGATGGGATTGTAAGAGAAGTAAATGCGAGGGTCTTGGCAAGAGGTGTGGAGTTAAAAGATAAAGAATCACACATAAAGTGGGAGTTGTCACAGTTGCTCTTTGCTGATGACACTGTGCTCTTGGGTGATTCTGAAGAGAAGTTGCAGAGGTTGGTGGATGAATTTGGTAGGGTATGTAAAAGAAGAAAATTAAAAGTGAATACAGGAAAGAGTAAGGTTATGAGGATAACAAAAAGATTAGGTGATGAAAGATTGGATATCAGATTGGAGGGAGAGAGTATGGAGGAGGTGAATGTATTCAGATATTTGGGAGTGGACGTGTCAGCGGATGGGTCTATGAAAGATGAGGTGAATCATAGAGTTGATGAGGGGAAAAGGGTGAGCGGTGCACTTAGGAGTCTGTGGAGACAAAGAACTTTGTCCTTGGAAGCAAAGAGGGGAATGTATGAGAGTATAGTTTTACCAACACTCCTGTATGGGTGTGAAGCATGGGTGATGAATGTTGCAGCGAGGAGAAAGCTGGAGGAAGTAGAGATGTCATGTCTGAGGGCAATGTGTGGTGTGAATATAATGCAGAGAATTCGTAGTATGGAAGTTAGGAGGAGGTGCGGGATTGCCAAAACTGTTGTCCAGAGGGCTGAGGAAGGGTTGTTGAGGTGGTTCGGACATGTAGAGAGAATAGAGCGAAACAGAATGACCTCAAGAGTGTATCAGTCTGTAGTGGAAGGAAGGCGGGGTAGGGGTCGGCCTAGGAAAGGTTGGAGGGAGGGGGTAAAGGAGGTTTTGTGTGCGAGGGGCTTGGACTTCCAGCAGGCATGCATGAGCGTGTTTGATAGGAGTGAATGGAGACAAATGGTTTTTAATACTTGACGTGCTGTTGGAGTGTGAGCAAAGTAACATTTATGAAGGGATTCAGGGAAACCGGCAGGCCGGACTTGAGTCCTGGAGATGGGAAGTACAGTGCCTGCACTCTGAAGGAGGGGTGTTAATGTTGCAGTTTAAAAACTGTAGTGTAAAGCACCCTTCTGGCAAGACAGTGATGGAGTGAATGATGGTGAAAGTTTTTCTTTTTCGGGCCACCCTGCCTTGGTGGGAATCGGCCAGTGTGTTAATAAATAATATATATATATATATATATATATATATATATATATATATATATATATATATATATATATATATATATATATATACATACATATATATGCAATAATATGACAGTAAACAAGTGATCTCAGAAAATGCTAAACAAGGACTGTGAAAGGATAGTGAAATTTCAAGCGCTTTCGTGACTTCTTACATTGTCAAGGAACTATATAGGCAATACATCAAAGGAAGGCCTATAAAGGGTCTAGACCACACCTCACCATCACATCTCACAACAAAGCAACAACCTGACGCGCGACGACACCCGAGGGTGTTGTCTCAACCCTTTATACGCCTTCCTTTGATGAATTGTCTTTATAGTTCCTTGATAATGTGATAAGTCGCGAAAGCGCTTGGAATTTCACTATCCTTTCACAGTGGTTGTTTTGCCGTGGGGCGTTGACCCCCGGAACTCTCTCTCCAGGTATATATATATATATATATATATATATATATATATATATATATATATATATATATATATATATATATATATATATATATATATATATATATATATATGCAAGGAATTCGCGAGAGCATGCGAAATATACACAAACACTGATCTCTGGCTGAAGGAGACTCTCCTTCAGCCAGAGATCAGTGTTCATATATATATATATATATATATATATATATATATATATATATATATATATATATATATAATATATATATATATATATATATATATATATATATATATATATATATATATAATGTGTGTGTGTGTGTGTGTGTGTGTGTGTGTGTGTGTGTACTCACCTATTTGTGGTTGCAGGGGTCGAGTCCTAGCTCCTGTGTGTGTGTGTGTGTGTGTGTGTGTGTGTGTGTGTGTGTGTGTGTGTGTGTGTGTGTGTGTGTGTGTGTGTTGTGCCAAATACGTTAAACTGGTCAGTTACCAAGAACTTATTTATAATTGTCCTTTCTGAAATTTTCTCTTATACATTTAAAGATATATTTTTTCATTTATGTTAATGTAAAAATTAATAATTTTGTAGCAAGAGAACCTTAGAACACTTACCTAACCTTTTTATAACAAATGCAATTTAATTTAACCTAATGCAACTAAATGCATTTTGCCCTCAAACATGACGTCTCCACTGCCTCCAGCCTTCTCCTTGTTGCAGCATTCACCACCCATGTTTCACACCCATATAAGAGTGTTGGTATAACCATACTCTTATACATTACCCTCTTTGCTTCCATGGATAAAGAATTTATCTCTACAGACTCCTAAGTGCACCACTCACCTTTTTTCCCTCGTCAGTTCTATGATTCATCTCAAATTTCATAGACTCATCTGCTGACACGTCCACT